AGCGTACAGAAACCGGCTCGAGAGTCACTGAAAAAGGCTTAAAACGTGGTAACGGCAGCAGCAAGCAGGCCTTGCGTTTGGTTTTATTACTAATACAAACCAGGGCGGAGAGCGAGGGGCGCGGCTGTGGAGCGGAGTGACAGCAGCCCGCGTTTCCGTCTCGGCCTTGCTTCCCCCCGCAGGTCCCAGCAGCAATACAAACACTCCTTTCCTCCCGGAGACGCCAAGAACAGCGGCAGAATAGCTTCGGGAATTACATTGCTTTGGCGACTTACGGATCCCTTGCAAAAAAAGTCTATTTGCTCCAAAAAAGTTTATTTATATCTCTCTCTAATATCGGTTTTTACCAAAATATGATCTACAGGCACATGGCTGTAAAATAACTTTAAACCAATTCACTATAAAATTACTTTTGGTAATAAATCATCTGATTCTCAGAGAGGCAAAAGGCTCCTTTGCCCCCCGCAGCCTGGGGACTGCACAACTCCCCCTCCCGCCACCGTCCCGCGCTCGGCCGCGGCCAGGGCAGAAGCAGCTTGTGCTTCTTAGCCTGCACGAGGCGGAACCCTGCTCCTAAGAAGTCACTTACAGCTGAGAGGTGATAATAAACACATGCCGAAGGAAACCTGCAGAGGCAATGGGGCAGATACTCACAACGGGCTCTTACTCCTGAAGGAGCAGCTGCGTTATTAGACCTGGTCCCACCTGCGCTGCTCAGGGGGCTCCTCTGGGCCAGCGAGGTGCACTGAAGTCTGCTCTCAGTGCGAATGAAACCAGGATCTGAGAGCAAAACATCTGTGCGTGCATCTGGGCAGCTGGCACATTAATAAGTCAATAGGAATGCAGAGACACTCCTTAATCCCCCAAAAGATCTGTCAAATTCAGAAATCTTGAACTAAATCTCCTCTGTTTTGGAGGGGGGGGGAAAAAAAAAAGTAGCTTACTTTCACTCGTAAATATAAAGCAAATACATGTGTCTGATGTGTTCCTCCCCTGCTCTATTTGTGGACATCCAGCTCTTCAAAGCACTTGGAATACATTTGGTCACAGAAACAGTATTGCTCTAAAAGTCAAAGATATTAAAGATGTAAGAGAGCCGCCTCAGGAACGCATAATCTCCGCTCTGGAGACTTCTGCCGCTGTCCTCTGCGCCAGCGTCCTTCACAGAGGCTGACTGCGGCTGGTCTGACGTTACCGAGTTGCAGAGAGCAGCTTTCAGCTCTATTAGATTTGTTTTCCCTTGCTTGTAAGACTGCTCTCGCTGTTACTGCCCGCGGAGCTCCCTCGGTCCCAGGAGCAGCAGCAGCCACCACCGCAGATCGGCTACCGACGCTAAGCAGCCACTTCGCCTGAAACGGGCAGGACTAAACGAGGGCTCTGCCGCTGCTATCACTGGTGACCTGTAGTCAGAACAGTTACTGAAGAATCTAACATAGATAAAGCTTTTACAAAAGAAGCCTCAAGACAAAAAAGTTGGTCAGACAGATTCCAAGCTTTTTAGCTTTCAGGAAAAAGCAGACTTGAAGCACAGCATGGAGGTGCAGCACAAGGAAGGCGCAGGGGAGGAGCTTTCACGACAGCGTGCCAGGGTGAATCTTGGAGCAGCACGTTCATCCCGGCCTTAGAGGAGAAGCCTGACCAGAGCTACTGAAGCTGTAGCTTTTGAAGATGATTATTTGAAGCCTAATTCCCCCCCCATTTCCTATGATCCTTAAAAGACATCTCTGCACATCTCCCTGGGAAACAGTCTTGAGCGGTTTAGTAAGTCATGACTTGACGGGTATTATTCTGATGAACTACCCAAGCAAACCGTCCTGAAGCTTCTCAAGAAAGCACTCCAGGGAGCAGGTCCAGTTTGCCCAGCTCACAGAAGTTAGTGCTCCGTTTAATTTGTGCATGAAGCTAAATGACACATCACATCCCGAGAGTGATTAAAAACCAGAGCATTAAAGACTCCCAACCCTGTGTTCCCCTCTCACTGTTATCTTGAGAAGTCAAAGGGGAAAAAACAAAAGGCAGCAGCAGGAACTTGGGCTAGATGTTCTCAAGCCAGTTCGAACAGGAGTACAAAGAGGCGCCTGCTGCGGGAGCCGGGCTGGTGTGAGCGGATCGCATGCCGTAAGCAGGGAGCTAGACAGAAGCAGTCCCATAAGGACATAGTCGGTCCAGGTCACGTCCTCCTCTCCCCGGTAATTCGGCATCACCTGGTGATGGCAAGTCTTCTCCGCTAACACAAGCGATATACGGAGAAAGGGAGAGTAAGAGGGAAGGCATTAGGCCTGAGAAGAAAAGGATTTGTTCTCTTCTCCCTTAATAAATGGTTCAGTCTTTGCTTCACTTCGACAGTGAGGACTGCTAGATACATAAACCAAGTATTTCTTCAGTACATACAAGCACACATCGAGAAGGTACCTACGACCATAGCGCACAGCACACAGTAGCACAAGTTTAGAATGACTCAGTAAGTTCAAACAAGACAAGCTTTTACTTGGAGGGGAAAATATCAATATTTTCATCTTGAATGCAGTTGTTTTGAGTGGGAAGGGAAGGGGCTGGCTCAAAATCCAAGACCAGATACTCATCCTATCTATAGCTAAAGCAGACAGAGGGTATCAGCCTTTCGCTTGTGAAGTACAATGCTGTACTCCTGCTGACGCAACAGGAGTGAAATCTGTATCTTTGAATATCCCTGCCAGCAGTGTACCTTCTGAACCAAAGATCAGTAGGTAAGAAGAGAATGAGGGACCTCAAGAATGAATTTTTGACTTGGACAGTCATAGCTGATAAGTTCAACTTCTGAACTAATTTTCAAGGCCTTATATTCTCCTCCTACATTCTAGCTTCTTCAGGTTTTTTGTTTTGTTTTTAAAAAGTGCATTCTCCTCTGCTCAGATCTGCCTTGGTAACAAGCAAACAGAACCTCTTGTGAGGGCTGCAAGGTGGATGAGAAGCCTCTCGGATCACAAGCAAGGACTCCTCGCTTCAGCCCAGCTAAACTGAAGACTGGGACCGCCAAGGCCTTCCCAGTCAGTTAGCAAGCAACGTCCCACAGAGGTTCACCACCCACACTAACGGGATCATCATCACTCCTAGGCTTAGAAATAGCATACTCTTTTCCAGATATACGGAACCAAAATGAGAATAGCTTCAATCAGAGCAAAAGCTAAAGCAAAACAAAAGCATTTGGTTGGAAAGCAGTGAGCTGGGAAAAACTAAATTCCCCTTTTCCATGCAAGCTGAACACTGCTGGTGGAGGAGCAGCAGGCAGGGTAACGGAGAACCCGTCTCTCACTTGCTGCTGCATGAAAGGCTTTCAGTATCTTTAGCTCCTACATACAATCCCATGTTTTAATAACTGGGGACCTCCTACCAGAAGGAAAGGCAGATCACCAGCTTCACAGTTAAGAACACATGAACCTTATCATTCCCCTCGCTAACTAAGGCCTCCTGTACCTGAAATCAGTCACGAATTACTTCAAGGTCCAAGGGTAAGTCCCTGGAAACAGCGGATTACAATGGCAGAAGAGCCGTAACCTTTACTACAACTACAAATGATCCGCCAACACCTGGTGGAACGCACCCAAAATGGCGTATGTGTGTATATATAGATTTTGTATATAGACATTGTACTGTTTCATTCTTTTTAATACATATACAAGTACCTATACATATATACATATTTACAATTTACACCAGCCAGTAGATGGATGCGTATTGTACATATACACACAAACGCCTAGAATACACATGCACACACACACAAACACACACTCGTTAAAATAAACTCCACATCCCAGGTAACAAAGTCCTGCCATAGTCCAAAGAAGAGCAGCACCAAGTGGCGGGGGGCTCAATATACCAGCTTCAAGGCTGCTTAGAACAAACACTAGCATTAACAGAATTTTTTACACTTGGGAAATTAAAGAATGGATGGCATCAGCTTCAGCCCAGCTACAAAGAACCTTCATGCAAAGTTCCCAGCTACACGCCAGCAGTTCTTGCTGTTCCATACCGTGCTCTCCTCAGCTGAATGGGGTCCGTCAGTGCTGATCTGCTGCCCTTCGCTATTCCGGCCGACTAGATCATACCTTGTATGGCGGCACTGCAAACAGGCCTACCACGATACTATGGCAGTCACCAAGTTCTGCGTTTTTTTCACCTAAAAACAGAGGCATGGCTGGGGTTCAACATAAAAGCACTGATCAGACTTGTCCTTTCGCTACTTTTCTAGCAGCCCATGGAACAGTGAAAACGGACTTTTTCATTTAATAGTTTAAAATATTTTCGGTTCCTTCTCCTTGCTCACACCTTCACTGTCAGGAGTTGCAAGAGGTCCTCTAGCTCGGCAAGGAAGGCAGTACAGTCCAAGTGCGTCGGCAAGTGCTTTTCCCAGAAGTCGCAACAGCCTTCTCCAGCAAGTGCCTCTACAAAGGCCGCTGTACTCCTTAACACACCCAGACCGAGCGTTACGGGCTGAGGGAGCCTACAGTGCTGCCAAACATAACTACAGCCCCTCAGTTTTACTGGTTCAAAGATAGGACTGAGATGCAACGGTGGGCATGCAAAACATTAACAGGGCTTTATGGCAGCACCCGCTTGGCTTAACCTGCAAGAGGAGCACCAGCACAGGGATCCAGCACCGATGGGTCAGATAAATGGGTGACAAGAAGGGCTCGTATTCAGCACTACACGGGACATTCTTTCAGCTCCTGTCAGGGACTGGTAACACTGTGGGAGCCACACATTCCATCCACACACGGAAAGGAGGGATAACACCTGCTGGAAATGTAAGAATTTCTGCCTAGTACCTCAAAATGAAGAATGCCCTCTCCTCCTGGAAAACTGTGGCAGCAGTACAAATGGCAAGATGACCCATCTTACAGTGAGAGATGGGGGCTAGCTTTCCTACTTCTGTGATTTGTTAACCTGCTAACCATCTGCCCCATCAGGCAGAGTGGAAATTGTGTCCTTGGCCAGCAGTACAAAGTTCAGCTATAAAATCGCTGTGTCAAATTTGTAGGGGGCATTAAGTATCTTTACAACTTCACTTCAAACCCACTGCTCCAAATGCAACATCATTGTCCGCAGTTTTGTCTACTTACTTGCCTAAGACTGAAAAAATATATTTGTTATGAAGGACTCTGTTTTATTGCTATTGTTGGTTTGCACTGTGTGGTTCCATCTTTACCATTTCAAATCCAGACTCTTTGGGGATAAAATATTGTTTTTCTATTGATTTTTTTTCCAATTTCTTAAAATTGTATAAAAATAAAGGATTTCCACAAATGTGGGCTAAAGGTAACCAATAATACTTCTATGCTTAGGATCAGCTTTTGGAAATGTGGTTGATAGCCACAAGACCAGAAATAAACCTCTAGTGATTCTTTAGCTCAACATTTAAAAGACATGAAAACTTCTGCTTATAAAATTGACCCCATACAGAATGGAACAGCTAAACTAACAGCTGTTTATTATTACTTTTTAAAATAATGGTCCTAAATTTAAAAATAAAATCAAGTACTTCCTTTTATGATTTTCACATTATAAAACTGCACCATTCAAAATCTGTGGCCAGGGAAACCCCTTTGCAGTAAGACAGTTTCTCTTAATAGTCATCGAGGGTGTTTTCCAGGAAAACATTCCTAACATCCAGTATGGAAGCCAGCTCCAAAATGTGCTTTTGGAGGTGAGGGTTCTCCACCGTTTCATCTCTCGGCAGCTGAGGATAAGATTCTGGATAATTTCGAGTCTCCTGCTAGATGACAGTGAAAACAAAGAGAATCAGACATTCATGTATTTTTACACCCTTTATGAAGAAGATTGCAAGAGGCCAATTTCACTTAAGAGGCATCCTAATCTGTTTAGCATGCCACAGAGAGAGAAAATATTCTAGCATATTTAGTTTTCTCTTTCCGTTGACTCAGAGATGGTCATAGGGGCAATACAAATGCTCATTCATCTAAGACGGTTAATAATATGTTCACAGAAGCCTTGCAGGAAAAAAAATAAAAAAACACCAAAAAAAGACAGAAAGACTTCACAAACACTTACCTACTAGGCTGGAGTTCATTTCTTGAAATTATAGACATGTAAGCATCTCCAGTGGGAGATTCATCTCATCCTAAAACAATCATCTGGGGGCAAATCTATCCCCACTAACAGAAGACCTGCTTCTTTTCCCTGATATCAAAGCAGCCTAGGTAGCTAACTTAGGCTTGGAAAGCTACGAGATGTCTGCAGTTAGACAAGACAAATACTGCATATTTCTGTGCTTCAACTTCCATTTTTTTCTGTAATGTTTAAAATGGAGCAGGCAGTTTATATGCCAACACTCACATATATAAAATGGTGTAGATCCAGAAGCAGACTTTACTGTTGGCAGAGCATTAACCAACAGGGAGGGAAAATACCATCTTCCTGTTAGTTTATTCATTTACACTTCAAAGACCTTTCAAAATCCATTCACGCTAGAATACGTTCTAGTAATAACGTTCCATTCCTCCCCACTTCCTCTTATATTCTTGTTCTATACCTTTTTAGTTGTCTAGAAATAATAATCTTGAGTTATTAAGAGGAATTTTTCTAGCAGACGAGGCTGTTGCGAGTGACGTAAATGAATTAGAGTGTGTCTGCTACTTATGCAGAGGAATAAGGCTTCAGCAAGTCAAAGGCTTGATGCCTTTGGAGAAATACAAAGGCACAGATTCGATACAAGCTGTAGGCATTAGCATGTGAGCATCAGTTATCTTTCTGAAGTCACAGCGATATGCTTAGCCCTAAGACCCTTCCATCCTGAGGCAGTGCAGTTCTATATGCACTGGACTGTTGTTCTCACAAAGCAATAGATATCCCTGCATACCCGGAAAATTTTGTGCATCCTCATAGTAGCCGAACAGAAGATAAATCTTGTTAGAAGCAAGCGAAGAAATTCATCCCCAAAAAATTGAAGAAAGGACTGATCTGTAGAGAAGGCAAAGAAAACTCAGTTTAGAAAGGCTAAAAAAAAAAAAAAAAAAAAAAAAAAAAAGAGAGAGAGACTTGTGGGAAACCACTACAAATTCTCGTGCACTCCTCTTATTCACTATTCTGTCCCTTGGAAAGGCTGAGCAAGAAAAAACAGCATCCGCTTAGGTAGCACGCTAGGGTTCAGTTGTGTACCTTTAGGCACGTACCTATGGATCGGGAGTGGGTCAGCAGCTGGGCAATATCTCGGTTGATTTTTCTAAGGTAATCTTGGCACTTCTCCCACAATCCTCTGCGCATGCTTGATAATCCAGAGACAAATAGGAATGCCATTAAAGGATTGTTCAGAGAGGGGGAAG